CCCCAAAACCCCAAAACCCCAAAACCCCAAAACCCCATTTGGCTCAATCATAGAAATTTGAATAAATTTAGATATTGTGAAAATACTAAGTTCAATTGATATTTTTGATAAAGTTTTACACTTTGAATTAGTAAGAAAATTAACTATTCTTATTAAATTTAAAGATTAAATGGCAAATACAGCATAGTTAGCTAGCAATGTTGAAGTAACACATCAATATTGATTTTCCCTTATTTATCTTCATGATTAGTTGCTTTTGCAGGACCTCCCTGAAAATCATAGATTAGCCTCTAGACAGGAAGTTCATAGAAATTTTGATACTGATTTTGGATAGAATAAAAATCAAATAGAAGCAGTCAAGGTCGGAGATCATTAAACTTTCTAATAGTTACTCTAAATGGCTGGATCGAAAGTAGCTAATATTGAAGATATTAAGAATTAGAGTAAGATCAAATATTGTTTTCAAATATATTAAGTGACATATTATAGTTTCTTAAAGAGAACTTGAAATGTCAATTCATCCTGATAGTTGAACAGCATATACTTATGATCTTTTGCAATCTTTACATCCAGTTGCATATAACGTCAATAATGAACTTGAAAGCTTCACATCAAAAATGCTAGACGATGATGATTTGAGTAAAAACACACAAGATAGCGCAATGGATCCTTCTTCATCGTTATTGGTAGAAAAAAGATAAAAATATTACGAGGAATCAATGCTGAAAAATGCAAAGAAAAAATTTTCAAGTGATTTGATTAATGAAAACAATAAATCTACAGCATCCCTGAAAAAAGAAATCTCTGATAATTCTACCTCTAAAGAAATTCAAGTAAAACTTCAAAGTAAGATCTTTCTAAAATAATGTTACTTTACAATAGAGAATTTATTTATCGTGAGAGAGGGTGGAAATATAAAGCTTTTTTGGGATATTTTTATAATCCTATTAGCTGTTTTTAACTGCTTTAGTATTCCTTTTACATTAGCGTTCAAGCCAGCTTATAATGATACTACTGAGAATAAAATTGCAGAGTATATCATTGATCTCATGTTTCTGTTTGATATTATTTTCAATTTCAGGGCTACTTACATAGAGTCATCAACTGGAGAAGAAATATATGACCCGAAAAGAATAGCCTACAAGTATCTAACTGGCTATAGATTTTACCTAGATCTGTTCTCAACCATACCCTTCGATAAGATATTTTCTCCACTAGTCAATGCAGATGCTGAATAGTTTTTGTCCGCTCTTGGTATGCTTAAGCTCTTCAGAATTACGAAGATCAGTGGATTAATTCAAAAAATTAATGTGAGTAGAGCTACAAAAGCGATGTTCAAAGTTCTACAATTGATATTCTTCTTGGTTCTCTTTATTCATTTCTAAGCTTGCATATACTTCTTCATTGCAAGATAATATGAGGAGTGGATCCCCAATGAAGATTTTATTTACAGAAAAACTGAGATCTTTTCTATGAGTCCCTCATATTAATATTGGGTATGCATGTATTACTCAGCGATGCTTTTCAGTATAAGTGATATGGTAGCTGCAACTACCGCAGAACTAGCTTTTACTTCAGTTATGATGCTTATTTGTGCTATGATTACTGCAAACATATTTGGTCTCATAGCTGTACTTACATCTTAAATGAATGAAAAATCGTCAAAGTTTTAGGAATAAATGGATATAGCAAATACAGCTATGAAGAACATAAAACTAAGTTTATAACTTAGAAATGAAGTCTGTTACTATCTGCTTATGACTAGAACTACTTAAGACTAGCAAGAAGAGTTCCAAAGATTTCTTGATGATATATCACCTAGTCTAAGAATTGAGATCTAAAATGAAATCTTTATGATAGCAATCAAGAAAAATGAGCTTCTTATGTTAGTTGCATCTAAGCATGATAAGCATTTAAAATTGATTGATATAATTGTAAAAAATCTAGAAATTCAACTTGAATCACCAGAAAATGAGATTGTAAAGCAGGGATCAGATGATACAGAAGCTATGTACTTCGTTCAAAAAGGCGACTGTAGTGTTCTTGTTTAGGATAAAATTGGTTTAGAGGCTGGCATCAAAAGAGTTAGAACACTCTATGCAGGCGATCATTTTGGAGTAATATTATTTTATTAATTAAGCTTAGGAAGTAAGTTTGATTTATAACTGCAGGAGAACAGCAACTGTAACTGCCAACAATTATTGCACCTTAGCTAGACTTTCGATAAATACTTACAGAACAATAGCCAATAAGCATCCAATTTGGGTCAAAGAAATGAAGGAGTAGATATTTGTCTACGATGATGATGTGAAGGTATTCATGCAAGAAAATCTAAAAAAAGTGCAATATCTTAAGAGTCTAGACGAAGACATCTTTCACGAAGTGATGTTTAACTTTACCTAGGAAACATTTGACCGCGGAGCTTTTTTATTCAAAGAGAGTGAGCAATCAAATGCCATGTTTGTAGTTAAGAATGGAATTGTAGAGATCAGCTGCTAAATTGAAAACTAGGAATTAGTTATTGAAAGATTATACAGAGGCTCTATTATCAATCACAGATCGTTTTTAGTGGCTGATAAAAGTGACATAAGTTGTAAATGTGCTTAGACAATGACCTTATTCTATCTTACATTTGATTAAATCAAAAGATTGAGGATGAAGAATTCTAAATTAAACTAAGAAATATTGGCAATAGAAAGCTCTGTTAAAGCCAAAGAAAATCCTTACATCATAGATTATATCATGAGCAGAGGGGTTTAGCACAATGTCAATAGATCACGAGAAGTCGAAGATAAGCGTAATGATCTAACTTGCACCCTAAAGAACATGGTTCTTTATCACTTGATTAATTTCAAGATAGCATAGAAAAAACCTAGCTTCAAAGAAGTAATTGCTTAAGTTATAAGAAAAAAGAAGGAAGAAATGAAAAAGTAAAGAAAGAGAAAGCTAGCCATGCTAATGGGTGAGCAGGTAGATGAGGATGAAGACGAAATCGAAGGCTTTAATAAGGATTAAACTGAGTAAGTAATTGAACAACTAACTACTGTAAGAAAGAAATTCACTAAAAATAATTAAGATCTGGAATAACTAGATAAAATTGTCAAGGAATATACAGAGAAGTCAGAAATCTAGGTTGAGCAGCCAAATACACCCAAATTTAGAAGAGATAAGAACTCAATTTAGTTATGATCCTCAATAGGTCTTTATAAAAATTATAAATTGTCTATATTTAAAATAAATTTCTTATAAAAGTTTAGATTAAGATAGAGGGGTTTTGGGGTTTTGGGGTTTTGGGGTTTTGGGG